CTGTTTATGTTGTGTATATATATGTGTAAACTTACATTGTTGTAAATCAATTGATAGAGAATCAGTTCATACACTCTCTTAGTCTCTTATTCTCTATATTCTCTCTAAATCTCTCTTAAACTCTCTTAAACATTCCGCATAATCTAACACTCCGGGCATCGAATTTGTCCATAGTCTCGAGGAAACTTGATCGGTCTCGGCTGATCAAGAGTGACTCGTTGCTTGGTGGGTTGAAGGAAGGTTATGGATTGTATGGGCGGATCACAGTTGGGGATCAACTCACAATCATACTGTTAGGATTGTTTAGGAGTTGAGTCTCGGCTAAGCTATACCCTACAAAGGGAGCTACCTTGGACCAAACGAGAAGTTAGTCCAGGAAGCTGAAAGATGGAAAGACTAACTAACCATTGAACCTTGGACATAGAGCTATGGTAGAGCTACCGCTCTAAGGCAGTAAGTCTACCCATTGGTTCGCTTGTTTGTAGGATCCGACAGTCTATTAGAGATTGTTGTGAACCAGGCAGGAAGTTATTAGGATAATCAAGTGGTTATACTAGTACTACCTTAGCTAACCCGACTCACGGTTGAAAGTAAGGTCTGGTAAGAGAAGAGTCAAAGAGTTTTGGCGAACTCAAGTCAGATGGCTTATGGTCAAGGGGATAGAGGATAGACGTGAGATCGCTTGGACGGTAGTACAAGTTGGTGTCATGAGCTATCCACAATTAACGGATAATCTTGTGTGTGTATTTCTGCAGGGACGGCTACCGTGTGGCCATAGATGAGTCATGGGTAACGTTATGGGATAGCCATGCTTACCTGGGACCAACCATACGGGGCAAAGGTATTGATTGAAATACTTCGGCTACTGATTGAGAACGTAGATAAAGGAATAGGGTAAATGGATAGAGAATTATTGTGGACCTTAGGAAAGTCTAGAGTAGAATGCATATTAACCAGTAGGATAGTAGGTTCACAAGGCCACATATACATTATTGCATAGGGGCGTTTGTATGGGCATTCATCGACGACTTGTTTGTGTTTGGCCTGAAAAAGTGGCATGACGACTTGGTAGACGAGAACTACCGGAAGGGCTCTGGGAGTCTATGGAGGTTCGCCCTACGGGGAAGAATATGTTGTGGAAATTTTGTCGACGGGCAGAATATAATGGAGGTTCGGGCAAGTTCGGAAGGGAATGGATTTTCCCCCGTCTTGTGTTGAATAGTGGAGTCCGGGACTCCCGTGTATATGTGTATTATGTGAAGTGTAAGGTTCGGGGAAGGACGAAAGAGAATGGACTTTCCCCCGTCTTGTGGTGAATGGTAGAGTATGGGACTCTCGTATTTATGAGCACCAACAGAAGTGCGGTAGCACTTACTTAGCTATTAGGTAAACGCATGGTGCCGAGGCATCATGTGGTAGTAGTGTGGTAAAGGGTAGATAGGATATGTTAGGTCGTGAGACGGAGTAGACCGTCTTACTGAGTATTCAATACTCACCCCTTACCAGGTTTGCAGGATAGGAGATCCGGTTAGGTGACTCATAGGATACGGCAAGGCAGGAGGATGCGGCAGATGCGGTAGAGGCTTTCCCAAGGCATGATAGTTTTAGAGTTCCCGCATTGTAATTTCACCGCATAATATAATTAAGAAATTTTTGAGTAATGAGATAACTGATTTGGCAACATTTTACGGTGGATTTATAGTCCCTGATGCGGGTGTTACA